CATATGTGTCTCCTTGCAGTTTTTTCAGTTTTTGCTTCATGTGTTATGCCTTTTTGGGTAACTGACCCCTTTATCATTACATAATGCCCCTCTTTATCCTTGTAAGAAGGATTGGTATTTTTTCTTTAAATATTCAACAAAATTCACTGGTAAAACCATTTGCCTTTTTTATGGGAAGATTTAAAATTCACTAATTCAATTTCTTTACTTGCTATATGTCTATTCATATTTCTATTTCTTCTTGAGTCACTTTTGGTAATTTGTCTTTTTAGAAATTTATCCATTTCATCTAAGTTTACAGCTTATTGATATGAAGTCGTTTATATGGTACTTCCTTATAATTCTTTTAATTGCTGTACCCTTTTTAATTCCTCATTTGGGGAAAAAAGTATACAATTCACTGATTTTCAGTGTATTCACAAGACCATGTAACTATAACCATAATCTAATTGCAAAACATTTTTATCATCTCCCAAAAATATCCATATCCATTGGTAGGCCCTATTCTCCTTTCCCCAAACCCTAGGCAACCGCTAAGCTACTTTGTCTCTGTGGATTTGCTTATTTGGGACATTTCATATAATTAGAACATACAATATGTGGTCTTTCACTTAGCATAATATTTTCAAGGTTCATCCATATGGCAGCATGTATCAGTACTTCATTCCTTTTTAGGCTGAATAATATTCCTTACATGGACATACCACATTTTGTTTATTCCCTCTTCAGCTCATGGACATTTATGTTGTTTCCACTTTTTGGCTATTATGAATACTGCTGTTATGAACATTTCTGTTTAAGTTTTTGTGTGGTGCACCTTTTTAATTAGCATATAATCTCAAGGTTATGAGCTAAGTACCTAGCCACTCAGGAAACTGGAGGCTAGAGAGTGTGTTTTTTGTCTTTGTGTTTATATGTCTGTCTTTCTGTGTGTGGGAACAACCCAAGTTCCTGGATGTTTACAGAGAGTCTTTGGGTTTAAGAAGAAGCCAGAAGGGCTGAGTCAACTCTTAATATCTTAACTCTGCCCTACATGCTTCAACTCTCCCTGGCTCCATGCCTCACCTTCTGTTCTGAACCACAGTGTAAGTGAGGCCTGCAGGGTGGGAAATGGACCATGACATGCATGCCCAAAAAAGCCAGTGTACACACACACAAAAATGTGTATTTCTATCGTGCTTTTCAGATAAAAGGAAATGTGATATGTATCATTTTGTGATTCAAGAAAAGCAATGGTAAAAACCCTGCTCTCAAGTTAGTGGGAGGGAAAAATCATCTATCCATCAATAGATGTGATGATGCCCAAATATTACTTTGGTTAGAAAAATAATCCCACATAAACTCCCACTTTTCTCTCTTTTGGTCCTAAAACTTTCATCACTATCCTGCAGTGCCTCTGTGGATAAAAGCATGTGGTGAGCCAGACAGCTGTTCACCGGTGTCCTCTAGCTTTATTCCTAGTAATCCATCCCGTTTTGGCCTTCCTCCGAGACTCTTCCCCATCATCTATCACTTGGCCCTGAAATGGTTGTGAGGATTCTTCCTCCCCAGTCTTTGTTCTAAAATTGAATCTGAACACTCTTTGTTACCTAATAAGGCAGAGCCGGGCAATGTTTCTTTGCAACTATGTTATCTCATTCTGGATAAAGGTAGTGAGGTGAGTTGCAAGTAAATATAGAAAACCAAAGGGTAAAAACATTCTCTAAGAATAAGGGAAATCTGATTCCAGGATAAGACAAGAGATACAGTACTTGACTAAAAGTTGGTCTGATCTGGCCAAATAAGACTGCATGTGACACATTCAGGTGTACGTTTATAAGATGAGATTCTGTACCTGCTTGTTGAAATATCTTCAAAAGGGTAGAGGATCTCTCCATTGTTGCAGATTTCACAGATGAACCCCTTCTGGCTGCAGAGACTGCAGCTGTACACGTGAGAGCTGGCAAATTTAATGACCTTGCCCAGGAATGGAGCCAGCTTTCCCTCTATTACCTGCAGGAAGAGAAATGGGACAGGGAAAGTCATTGAGCACAGAAATCTTGCAGATGAGGAGAACTGGAATTCCTTTCCTTTACACAACAGGAAAACCTCTAATTATAATTTCTCAGCAACTCTGAGAAAGAAAAGACATAGTATTTTCGCTCCAAAAGAACCCTCTGGTCTAAACCACTGGAGGTTAGAAAATGAAGATGTTGAAACTTCTTTTGTATTCTTCTTTCTTTGTAGTGGGGTGTAAGGGATTGAAGACCAACAAACGGGGAGCCCCACTTGCATGGACCGACTCACAGTTACGGTGCGGTGTAAGAGGAATGCAGCGGGGTTCCCGGAATAGACTGAAAACAGCCAGGGTAAGTATGAACGTAGAACTTCATACTTTATGTTGTCTATTCAACAATTCCCTTTCTCTGATGAATTAATAGGATAGTTTTTTCACTGTCTCCCCCACGAACACAGAACAAATGTGGAAAAATAGGTTTCTTTTGCTGCTGACAAGTACCAGTATATTAATATAAAGAGGTTGCAAATTTGGCAGGCAGAGGGTCATATTCAGCCTGAAGAGTTAAAAAAAAAAATCTCTTAGTGTTTTAAAGAATGAGCCATTTTAATAATTGGGAGCCCAGTTGAGCGTTGACCTATGAACCAGGAGGTCATGGTTCGATTCCTGGCCTGGGCACATGCCTGGTTGTGGGCATGTGCAGGAGGCAGCTGATCAATGATTCTCTTTCATCATTTATGTTTCTATCTCTCTCTCCCTCTCCCTTCCTCTCTGAAATCAATCTATAATAATAAACTCGTAATATGGTAATTAGATCTGATGGCCGAACAGCAGAACGACCATTAGGACAACCTTCCGGACAACCATCCGGGACCAGGCTATGACATCCACTGGCGCCAGGCCAGACAAGGCAGATGCAATGCGATTGGTCAGGGGCCAGGCCATCGCCCCATGTTCGCCCTGCAGAGGGAGGCCCAGGCCACCGACGGGTGGGCTGTGGTGGGTGGGCGGGGCCTCCCTCTGCAAAGTAAGGCTGGCTCCCGGGTGGCTGCTGGTGGCCAGAGGGAAGCCCAGGTCCCGGGTGCCAGAGGGAAGCCGGTGCTGGCAGCCTGGGGAAGGAAGGCCTACTCTTGCACGAATTTGGTGCACCAGGCCTCTAGTAAAAGTATATTTAAAAAAAAAAATAATTGGGAGATTTCACATAAAAATGAAGATTTGGGGTTTCTTTTGAAAAATCATTATATCTAGCAGGCTAGGCCTGAACTCTAGCATGGTGATGATCCTGCCTGCGACAGGCAGCTTGCTCCCCCCGGAACACGTGCCTCCTGTCGATAGCTGTCCCCACCAGGCCCTTGTGTCTTGCATCTGCCTGCCTCCCACAGGTACCACACCTGTTGGCCTGCAAACAACCTGGCTTTTGGAACCAATGGTTGGTCTGACCCCTCCTCACTTCTCTAAAATGACGGGTTTCAAAGTGTTCAGCAGTTCGTGTACCAACAAGATAAAACCTGCCTTTATTTCTCTCTATTAGTGCAAATGTATATACATGCTGATTTTAATAAGAAAAAAAGAAAGAAAATTTAATTTGAAAATATTTGGAAATAGCTGCAGACTTTCAAATGAATCTATAGTTTGAATGACAATAACATAAAAATAACATCCAAGGGCAATGCATATCATACCTAAATGGAAATTACAGTGCCAAGGTGAATAAATTAGTAGTAACTAACATTTCAGAAATAAAAGACTGCAAGGAATGTAATAATGTGTTTTGCTAAAAATAGAAGCTATTCATAATACTGGAGATAAAAACTTAAGTGGTTTTTAAAAAATATATATATTTATTGATTTCAGAGAGGAAGGGAGAGGGAGAGATAGGAACATCAATGATGAGAGAGAATCATCAATCTGCTGCTTCCTGCACACCCTTACTGGGGATTGAGCCCACAACCTGGGCATGTGCCCTTGACTAGAATCAAACGGGGACGCTTCAGTCCACAGGCCTATGTTCTATCCACTGACCCAAACCGTCTAACGCTGAAGTGGTTTTAAAGGTCACAGTATAATCTCATGATCAAAATAACAGTAGTTAACTCTAGGGAAGGGAAGAAGTGGGAAAAGCAAGTCTTTCACTTTGTATACAGTTGTCTTTTTGCATTTTTAAAAACAATGTATATTGTTTTGCATCAAGGTACAGAAAATGAACAGAAAAACCAGGTTTGCTGCTTTATAAAAGTGGATATTTTTTTTTCTTAATATAGAGGGTAGAAATTATGCTGGCTGTTTTTCTGTCAAGCAAGTTCGTTTTCCATCATTCTGTAACTTATTTTCCTCTCTATTACCTTTAGAAAGCCATAGATAGAGCTCTTTTTATTTTTATTTTCTCAAGGACCATTAACTTCGACAAACCCCAGCAAAGCGTACTCCTAATACCAACACATGATACACTTTCTAAGAAATAACCACTACCAAATCATATACCCAACCACCAGAAAACGCTTTCCAATGTGTCATAGGGTTATTTCTAAATTGTGGTGACAATACTTCAGTTCTACTTGGTTTTGCTTACATTACTCTTTCCTAAACAACCAAGGTCAATGACACATTTAAAGAGAGGCGCAAAGTATAGTCCACTCAGGGGAAAACATCGGGATGCAGAACAGTTCTGGAAACCAGGTGAGTAAACGCTGCTTGAAGGAACCCAGGGTGAGAAGAGAAGACCTTGGGGAGGACCTGACAGTCATCACCTGGGATCTAGAGGAGCAGAACGGGCATCTTGTGCATAAAGCTTTCCCCATTTTATTTTTTATTTTATTTTTTAAAAATATATTTTATTGATTTTTTACAGAGAGGAAGGGAGAGGAATAGAGAGTTAGAAACATCGATGAGAGAGAAACATCGATTAGCTGCCTCCTGCACACCTCCCACTGGGGATGTGCCTGCAACCAAGGTACATGCCCTTGACCGGAATCGAACCTGGGACCTTTCAGTCCGCAGGCCGACGCTCTATCCACTGAGCCAAACCGGTCAGGGCAAGCTTTCCCCATTTTAGATGATCTCCTTGAGGCAAAGGGTATGAGAATTTTGAAGGCTTTTGAAATATCTCACCAAACTTATCTAATAAGCTTAAAAAATTAATTTGGGGACTGATAGCTTTATAATATTTATTCTTCCTATCGAAGAACCTGATCTATATCTCCATTTTATTACATTTTCATTTATTATAGTTCAATAAAAATTTGTTTTCTTTCCTTGTATATGCCACTCACACTTAATATATTTAGGTTATTTCCAAATTGAATTTTGTGTAATATTTTTTCTTATTAGCCATTGCTGGTATATTAGAATATATTGACATTTGTGTACACCTTATATATGACTGTATTTTACTGTATTTTCAGGAATGCAAAGCATTTTTAGGGGATTCTTTTGGGTCTTCTGAAAGTAATAAACTGGTCCCTTCCTTTCTAATATTATACCTCTTATTTATGTTTCATGTCTTATTGCATCACTCAGTGCTCCTAACACAATATTAAGTAATGATGGCGTTAGAATCAAACTGGAAATTATGGAGTCTAGTGAGTGGTTCCTTTTCTCCACCAGAAACATATATATTGTCATTCACCACATTTTATTGATTTCCTCTCTTTTTAAATTACAGCTTTAGTGAGATATAATTCACATACCATGTAATTCACCTATTTAAAGTCTACAATTAAATGGCATTTAGATTATTCACAGAGTTGTATACTATCACCACCATCAATTTTTGAGCATCTCTTCAACTCTTCCAAAAAACCTTGTACCCATTAGCGATTACTCCCTTTCCTCTAAACTGCTCCCCAAGCCCTAACCAAGCAATAGTCTAGTTTCTGTCTCTATGGAGGATTTACCTATTTTGGACATTTCATATAAATGGAATGATACAATATGTGGCTTTTCACTTAGCTTAACGTTTTCAAGGTTCAAGTTGATTCTCTTCTAAACACCTCTAGTCTAAGTCTCCTTTTTCCATCCTGCCCTACACTCTTATCTCTCCTGTCAATCTTCTAGTTTTATTTCCAGATGCCCATCTTTTTCCTTTGATCTGACCATAATATAGATACTAATCAGTTTTAGATACCACTTTCATCATGTATCATGTCTTCCCTCAAACCTTGGTGAATTCTTATTTTATCATTATTAAAAACTCTCCACTCATTCATTTCAGAGAATTATATTGAATTACTGTGTCCCATATTCTCCATACAAGAGTGAACTGGGCCAAACTGGAGGTTACATTTTGCCTGGAGTGCAGGTGGTCCATAGCTGGTTCCACGCTACCTATCCAAATTCATTTTCCATTTCTTACGATGTAACTTCTGTTGTGAGCAAATGTTTCCTCATGTAGAATATGCTTACTCTTGTTCTTGTGCCTTCACCCATGTCATTTCCTCTGTCTGAAGTTTCGCTTCTCTTCTTAACACTTTTTTAACTTCACCTAGGCTTTATGGCTCCGACCTATTCTGGCTTGATCTGGGAAGCCATCTTTGGCAACTTCACTGTTTGGATCTCTTGTGCTTCACATAAATTACTTTTACATCATGCACACCATGTAATGTAATATAAAACTTGATGCTGTTTTGTACTCTTTACTAATGCTTAACATGTGATTGTTTTGCTTATCCAACTGTTGATTGACTATATCGAAATGGTGAGCCTAACTATAAAATGGTGATTTTACTTAAGAAAATGTAAATTTTATATGGAGCAACCTAAGAGAATGAAATTGCTTGGAGGCAAGACTGAGTCTCATACTTGTCTTAAATATCCTATTTCTGCCAGGCACCTAAGTTCTTATTGATTGACCAAGGATGCTTTCTTGTCTTTTTCCTTGGCTGCAGTGGTTATATCTTAGGGCTGTTTTTGTGTCACAAATATTTTCAATCATTCTGCTGGGTGATTTAGGGAGGAGCATAAAGAGTGCATGGCCCTGGTGGAAGCTCAGCTATTCAGGAACTCCTTTGGCTTCTTTTCATTTGATTAATTGCTCTTCCTATTTGTCAGCTTAAGTTCATGGCCATGTTCCAAAGGGCTAAAGCTGCTGAAAGATTTCCTTCCAGAAAGTGAGGTAATAGTCTATGTTTTAGAATTTACAAACATATCTTTAATATTTCAGAAAGGAAAAGTTTATACTTATAATTGTCCAGGGATAAAGATATATTTAGAAGGTTTAAATCTTATCTTTGACTACAACTACTAGCAGCACTGGGAACCGGATCCAACTATTCTGGCTTCTCGTCTAGAGGTTCCATCACAACAAAGTAGTAGGTTCCAAATGTGACATCTCCATGGGTTCTTTTAAAAAATCAA